CTTTCAGGGAAATGGAAAACTGTTGTCAATTTCAAATCTTTTTATTTGTACCCGCTTCTTAAAATAATGACAAGCATTCATATTTATGATTGTTATTGCAATATTTTGATAAAGGTGTCAAGCTCAAATATATAATGATGCAATGATGGGAATTTCTACGGATATTTTATTGTCGTAAAACTCACCATGAGCTTATTCAGTCATTAACTTAAGAATTAAGATTTTTCAGAAAATTGAAATATGGCAACCATGCCCTCCCTCCCTTCCCTACTTAGATCATTAGTTTGTTCGCACAACAGTTATGCTTGACCATCGCTATTGTATTACTCTTCATGGTATCAAATAATCAAAGGAGATATGACTACGAAACAATGTAATTGTAATTAGGCTATAAAGCGCTCTTTTAAAATGTTTATATTCCATAAAGTTAGAAGACATCAAAAACTATTAATTTCAATGAAAACAGTACAGCCGTGGAATTTCCACGGGAATCGTTAGTTATTATTATTATTATTATTATTATTATTATTCGATTTCTTATTATTATTATTATTATTTTGAAAGACCTGGCGTTTCGTGGTCTTTTATGGTCCCGTCCATGACCTTTTTTTTTTTTTTTATCTCCAATGACAGTTTCCACTGACAAAAAAAAAAAAAATTACATAGATAAAGCCCTTCGTAAAAGACAATTTTCTGGCTGTCTCTTGTCAGAACAATATTCTTTCAATTATTGTTTTATTATTTTTATTATTTCATCTTTCTTATTAACTTGTTTTTTTAAAGGGAAGGCGTTCTCGATTTCTTTTATTTTCTTTCTCTTTCTTTCATTCCTTCCTTTATCTCGACATATTATTATTATTATTATTATTATTATTTTTTTTCTTTTCTGTTTTTGATTATTATGTCCGGCATCATTGCTTCGATTTTTTCTGTCTGTGGACACACTATAATCCCCAAGAATGGGTGAAGATCTTCTATTTCTGTAACCGGCGCTGGTGTGTTCATTAGTGTTTGCCACATTTCCAAAGTGTTTGCAATTTTTTTTTTTTTTTTTCTATCGTGACGATTTTTATTGCATTTGGGGCGTATAGAACATCCTGAGATTAGATCCTTATTGTTTCTTGTATTTGTCTGAACCTGCATTTTGGATCAATTTTATGTATGATATTTGCCTAAAATTCCCTAGTTTCCAAGATTCTGGTCTTGCGCTGCAAGAATAAAAGTTCAGTTTTGTTTAATCCAGATTTTTATAACCATCGATGAGTATTAACTTTATCAACATTGGGTTTATTCTTGTTTTGGATTTTGGCCACATTTTTTGCTATTTTCATTTTCAGGTCTTTGTTTTTGATAGTTTTCAAATTCCTTGGTTTTGCTATGTTACAATTCTGGACAACCATATCATCAATTAGTAGGCAAGTTTTTTTGCTGGTTTTTACAATAATGTCCGGCCTATTTTGCTTCAATTTTTTTCTGTGTGGATGGTATAATCCCAGAATGGTGACATCTTCTATTTCTTTTATGGCCGATGTTCATTATTATTATTTGCTTACACATTTTCCAAAAAAATTTGCAAAAAAATTTCCGGGTCCCGTCGTGACGATTTTTATATTCATTTGGGGCCACTGACAAAAAAAAAAAAAAAAATTAGATGATAAAGTTTCTTCGTATTTGTCACAGAACCTGCATTTGGATCCATATTATTATTATTATTATTATTATTATTATTTCATCTTTGAAATTCAACATGTTTTTGCGCTGCAAGAATAAAGCCTTTTATTTTCTTTAATTTCTTTCATGCTCGTAACCATCGATGACATATTAACTTTATCAACATTGGGTTTATTTCGAATTTCTGGATGGATTGGCCATGCAGAGGTTTGTCTTGCCAAGGCGTTGTTTCATCTGTTCAAGGGCTTTATTCTCCTTTTTTTTTTTTCATGTCTCTATCTGGGGTTTCAGTTTTTGCAATAGTTGGTTCTTGGCTTTGTTTTGATTTTTATAATTCTACTAAATGTAAATGTTGTTTGTATTTACTTGCCTTCTTTTATTATTGAATATTTTTTTTCTTTCTGTTTTTCATGTTGTTTTTGAATTTTTCTATCATCCAGTCATTTGTTGTTTTTTTCATGTAAGTTAGTAAGCCAATAGTTGTTGTCTTGTATGACAATTTTAGCTGAATTTTGACCTGATCTCCCGGCCCTTTGCTTTACGGGTCTGTGTGGATGGTCTAATCCCACTTTGAATGATGACATCTTATACTTCTGAAACCGAAGCTTTCTTGTTTTAGAATCCATTTGTCTGATGTCATTTTCCAGTCCAGTTTGCAGATGTTGAAACTATATTGGACCACTGGGATCGTGACGATTTTAATTTGGGGCATAATTCTCCTGAGAATTCAATTCAGTTTTTAATATTTGTCGTAGAACCTTCTTTTGGATCCACTTTTATGTATGATATTTCCTTCAAATTCTTATGGTGAGATTCTGGTCTTGCTCTGCAAGAATAAACCTAGGTCAGACTTTAATCCAGATTCTCCTTAACCATCTAAATCTTTTATTTGTTTTATTTGCAGTTCTGGATAAACTAATAGAGAAGTTTGTTGTGCCAGCGTTGTTTCATCTGTTCAACTTTAGCTTTATTATTTTTATATCTTTTGCTTAATATTGGTTATCATTCTTTTTGATTTATTATTACTAAATGTAAATGTTGTTTTATATTTATAATTTTTATTATATTATTTTTATTATTTTCATTTGTTTCATTAATTTTATCATCAGTCATTTGTTATTTCCATTATTAGTATTAGTTGTTTGTCTTGATTTCTGCTGAATAAGATATTTCCTTCTTTACGGGTCCCAAGACAAAGACGTCACGGTCAGAAATGGCTTCATTTTATTTTCCACTGATCATCTTTTTGTTTTAAAAAATTTGTCTGAAAAATAAATATATTATCCAGTTCAAGATGTTGAAACTACTACTGGACTACTGGGATGTAATTTATTTTTCAATATAATTTTCATTATTAGCATTTCTTATCGCTTTTTAAGACTTTTTTCCTTCTCAGTCTGTTTTCTTTTCTTGTTTCTGATTTTCCTTCAGGTGTTATTATTATTATTATTATTATTATTATTATTATTATTATTTTATTTCTTTCTTATTCAACATGTTTTTAAAGAGAAGGAGTTCTCGTTATCTTTTATTTCTCTTTCTCTCTTTCTTTCATTCTTTCCTTTTTGTCAACATATTATTATTATTATTTGATCTTATTCAGTATGCTTTTAAAATGATAATGAAATCCCATCTCTTCTTTCTTGCTCTCTGTCTCTTTCTCTCTCTCTCTCTTTCTCTCTTTGTCTTTCTTTAATTGCTTCATTTTATTCTTCACGTTATTTTTATTATTATTGTTTTTGTTGTTGTTGTTGATTCTTATTTTTCAATATTATTTTCCTCATTAGCATTTCTTATCGCTTCATAACACGTTCTTTCTCCGTCTGCTTTTCTTTCTTTCTTTCTTTCTTCTGATTTACCTTCACATTATTATTATCGTCATTATTTCATCTTTCTTATTCAACATGCTTTTAAAGATAAGTAGTTCTCATTATCTTTTCTTTCACACACTCCGTCTTTCTTTCATTTCTTTTTCCCTTCACATTATTATTATTATTATTATTATTATTATTATTATTATTATCTCTTTCTTATTTTCAGTATCGTTCTCAATCATAGTATTTCCCATTATCTCTTCTTTCTTTCTTTCTTTCTTTCTTTTTTTCTTTCTTTCTTTCTTTCTTTCTTTCTTTCTTTCTTTCTTTCTTTCTTTCTACTCTTGTCTTCACGCAGAGTTTAACTGCATTATTCCAACGTTCTACTTATTCCGCTAGTTTGACCGATATAAGAACATCATGATACCCACAGGAGGCTTTTTCAGATTACTTTTCCTCCGGTAGCCACAACTGTAAAGAAACTAATCATACCCTGCTTTACTTTTTGGCAGACATTTCTTCCTCTAAAACCCGTCTTCGAGTCTGGAAAGCAGCTGTTGGCACCAAGCGGACAGCCCACTAACCAAATCAGCGTTGGACATTAAAAAAAAAAATTTTTAAAAAAACAAAAAACACTGTGATTCCATTCAATAGACTGTGCAAAACAAAGTAACATTCTAGCAATTTCCCAAGTATACGATAATAACTGATCTGGAGAAATCTATCTTTCTGTTGTGGATTCCGGGTTGAAATCTGCAACTTCTACGGGAAGAAAACTGAAAGAAAATGGTATGAACACCAACCAGACCCGGTTACGGAGATGGGACCTGTTACAATTCTATGGGACTATACAATACACACTGACAGAACAATCAAAGCCAACCATGAATATTGTTATTAAAGACCACAAACAAAAACAGTGCCTCCTTATTGATATGGCAGTCCCTACTGACTGCAATGTATCTTTGAAGATATTCAAAAAGCTGTCAAAATACAAGGACCATAAAATAGAAATCTCGAAAATGTGGCATATGGGAACATCAACAATCCCTGTTGTAGTTGGAGCCCTCGGAGTGGTTGGAAAAGATTCCAGTAGACTAATTGAAGGGATTCCTGGAAGTCCATGCCTCAAGGAGATAAAAAAATTGTTCTGAAAAGTACAGCCCACACTTTACGAAGGGCTTTATCTATGTCATTTTTATTTTCATTTTTTTTTTATTTTATTTTTTTTGTCAGTGGAAAGTGTCATGATGCCATTTCTCACCTTAGGTCCCTGGGCGGGACCCGGAAAGAAATGTGTAAACGCCAGAAATCAAAGATGATGATGATGATGTTAATAATAATAATAATAATAATAATAATAATAATAATAATAATAATAATAATAATAATAATAATAAATATTATGTTATAATTGTGCTTGTCGCTTTCCTCTTTAGTTTACACAACCATCGCGCCCTATTGGACTATTCCATTTTGATTGCGTGGAAGGAGAGGACAAAACACTGCTTGGTCTCAGTGAAGAAATGAAAGAAAGAAAGAAAGAAAGAAAGGAAAGAAAAGAAAGAAAGAAAGAAAAGAAAGAAAGAAAGAAAGAAAGAAAGAAAGAAAGAAGAGAAGATATAAGTGAAGGAATGAGAGAGAGAGAGAGAGAATCTGATTAAGCTGATAAGAACACATATTACACTTTGATCTCAACCAAAAGGCCGAGAAGCGATTGTATTTTCTTGTCGCCCCATGCTGGCAGGTCGTGACACAAGGTAAGTTTGAAATGGTACAACGTGGGAGGTACTGCTGCAACTCAATAACATTTCCAGCTGCGCTCTGTCCGAAGATAAACATTACTGGGAGATGAAATGCAGTCCATCCACCCGAAGGCAGATACTTCACTTTGATCACAGCCAAAAGGACGAAGGTATTTGTCAGTGCGCCCACATCGCTATCGAATCTCCTGCACGTACACCGGCTCAAAATATAACATCCTGTATTCCTTTAGATCTTGTCAGTATTACCTCGAGTGGGAGTATGGATTTGTGTTTGTGGTTTTTTTGTGTAATTTTAGGTGAAGGTGTGTCTGGGGCACATAATGAAGAAAGAGGGCTTGGAAAATCTGATACTCACAGGACAGACTGTAGGAAAGAGGGACAGAGGAAAGCAGCGCGTAACGTACATGATTACCTTGAGTAAATAGATGGTAAAACGGGGGTTGGGAGAAATTGCAAATAGACAAAACTTATTAGGAACTACAACTGACAGGAAGATGTGGAGGGTCATAATCGCCTACTTCCTGAAAGGAGACGGTTCATAAAAGATGAAGAAGCGTGTTCAATATGCAATTAAAGAAGATAGATGAAGCCTGCAAAAAAACTTGAGTTTCTGGAACAGACGTTTATTCCTTTTATGTTTACTGTATTGGTTCAGAAATAATTTATGAGAAGTAAGGATACGAACGGGTAAAGCTGGACGATCTCAGGCCGGCTTCGCGCCGAGTTTGTTAAGACCGAACCTCTACTTTATGAGTAGGGCGACTAAAACACGTCCAACGATGTCGTTGTTAAGTGGGAAAAAGTTCAGTCCCCAGTGGAGACGCGGTTCACATCTTGAAGCTAGAGGAGAAAGATTCTGTCATGTCTGGAACTGACTTCATATACGATAACCCAAGCCTGTACCCTGGAGATCTAACCCCAATCTCCTCCACTAGGCGAGGGCACAACACAAGAGACAGCATTTTATTGCCAGCACATCCAAGGACGTTTGCAAGAACGATTTGAAACTCACAGTATTCCACACTGGTTGTTTGTAACAGTTACCACTAATCACAGAGACTAGCACCATGCTGTACAAAACATCATGAAGGGCGGGAAAAAAGCGAAACCAACTGTTGGAGATCAAAAGACAAGGCAGGAAGCAATGAAAACTATTTCAGACCTTATTTTTTTTGTAAATCATTTTGCCCCAAAGGCAATAAAGCCACTAGGACGCTAGTGGTTATTCAATGTTAGAGAATATGAGAAAAACTACACCTATAGTGAGAGGACACTAAAAGAGAAAGAATTAAGAAAACAGAAGATAACGATTGACAGTGCATTTAAATTTTTGAAGATCAAACTTGGACGCAAGAAGCCGGAAGAGAGTTCCACAAGCAAGAAGTGTGATAAAAGAGATTGTTAGCATAGAACAGGCATGGACAATTTTTACGACCATTGGAACGCATCAGATATGGCTTATCATACGGCGGGCCGCATTAACCAGAAGATTCAAGATAATTATCTTGTTGAGCCATTTTCACTACGAAAGACCATACGAGTAAGCACCTGTCATAGAATTACTGAAAGGTTGATTGTCTTTCGATAAAAAATTTTTCAATAATTAAAAAAAAAAATGAAGTCTTGTTACAATATTATCACGGGTGACAGTGATTATAACATAGTTGCATGTGATTTGTTTATTATTTACCCATTTGAAAATAAAAAAAAAAAATAAAAAAATATTTCTCCTTCAGAGAAAAAATGATTATGAACGTCATGTTTATAAAGCAAATGATATTCACACGCATGGTCTTCCTTAGTGAAAATCACCAATCGCTTAAAATGACGAAAACGTTACCTTCAACGAAAAGTTAAAAAAATGCAACAAACATCGTATTTAATCAGTGTTTATGAATGTGGTTATGTGTAAAAAAAAAATGTGAGTGAACAAATGCGGACGAAACGAAACTGTCACACAGGAATAAAATGTCGCTGCACACACTTGGGTTTGAACACGGATCGCCAGAGAGCAAGCACAGGCGACCTCATCTTGAAATAATTAGATCATGTGACGGGTAAAGGAAAAGTATATATGTGGGAATTGGCGGCGTCTGACCGAGTATTGTGCTGAGGCATTAGTATTATTGTAGTGATATTCCAAGTTTAGCTTGGATGTGGCACAAGGGCGAACAATGTAAATAGTGCATAGGTTTTGCGTGTTCTGATTTGTAATGAATTTGCTAAAAGGTGACTCTTTTTTTTTTTTTTTTTGGTGACAGGATTATCTTTGGCATGAAAAAATGTTCAGTATTCGTGAGAGAAAAAGGGGGGAGTTACCCCCCTCCCCCCAAAAAAAAACAAACAAATAAAAAACAGAGATAAAGCAGTAAAAGGAATGCATATGAAAGCTTAACACACTTAACCCAACCCAGCGAAAAGTTTTGCTGTGTCGTCCGGCCATAAAATTATAAAAAAAAAATTATTATTTCAAATCAACGCCAGTCCAAAACACTGAGAAAACATATCCAAATCTGACTTTGAAGATGACAAACTTAAATTTTGAGAACCGTCAACTGAGTTAAGATACAAGTATACGTGCGAGTAAATTACATATTTTGTTCCTTTCTGATCATATTGCATGTGATAGCATAGAAGAGGCATGGGCAATTTTTACGACCAGTGGGATGCATCAGATATGGCTTATCATACGGCGGGCCGCATTAACCAGAAGATTCAAGATAATTTTCTTGTTGAGCCATTTTCACTACGAAAGACCATTGTGAGTAGTGGCTTACGGATATATCACCTTAAAACACCAGTTCCTGTAGGTTCACCGAAGTTAAGCAACATCGACCCTGGTCAGTGATTTCATGAGTGACCGCTTGGTAATACCAGTTGCTGTAAAGTTATATGTGCGGATGGTATAATGGAATTCTTAATCGGAGAATCGAGTTCCAATTCCATCTGGATTTGTTATATTCACTTACGCCCAAATACCCTTGGGAAAGATATGAATTCACCACTTTCCCCCAGCTATGAATTAATTAGTAAGACTTGTATCACTAAATCCATTATTATCTCCACCCACCCACAAAAAAGAAAACTAATTTATGTGAAAACTATTTAGATTTCGACATTAAATAACCCACAGAGTTTGATATGTAGCTAAAGAACCAGCCAACCTTTTATTCGTGAGAACTGTTGACACATTAAACATTTATTCTCTCTATAATGAATTGTTAAGTTTCTCATTAGTTCCCGTTACGAGTTTAATTTTTTTCTTCTATGTGCCGTGTCCATTCAGGACGTTGACGATCATGGCTCCTCACAATGTCTTGTTCTTTGTAGCTATCTTTCTCAAACATTGCTCCGCTAGCCATTTACTCATCAGGTAGGTTCCGCGTTTCTTTTCATTGTCTCGCTTACCTTCAATCTGTCGTCTAAGTATCAAATTTTCCAAGCACCCTTTCCACATTATGTGCACCAGAAATTGCAACTATCACTTCAAGTCCTTTTTGTTACTATTGCCTCTATAAATTTGTCGTTGCTTATATGTTCAATCCATAGAATTCTCAGCATCCTAGTGTAGCACCGCATTATGTTGCTTCAAAACTCTTTTTCATCTGTGAGATTGTCCAGGATTCAGTGCCAAAAAGGAGGACTGATATTACATAAGAATACAGTACTCATTCTTTCTTTCTCTTGCTTCAAGTTTTCTTCGTCTGTGAGGAGATTGTCCTGGATTCAGTGCCATATAGCAGGACTGATACTACGTAAAATTGTTTACTCTCTTCTTTGTTTCTAACAATATTTTTCTACTTTGTCATAACTGTCAAATACATACTTGTAACAGCTCGGAGCAAGGCAGTTCAAAGTGAACTAGAAGTTCTACCAGGATTTATTTTTGGCTCGTACAATCTTAACAACATGCAATTTAATGGGAGATGTGCAGAAATGAATAGCCAAATTGCTAACGACATTCTTCGGTTAGACGGATGGTTTCCCTGATGGCAAAAGGGAATACAGTTTCGATTCCTATCGAGGCGAACATTCTCTTAGGTAGGACTTCTCGATCTAAAAATTATTCCTAAGCAAGGCAATAATGTCACTAAGACGCAAGGAAGTTGGAGTGAAAGACTGAGAAGGAACCGAAAACAAAATCCTAAACAGGAAAAAAGGATAAACGTCTACTCCTCTTCAAAAGACCGGGAAGGAGTGTGAACCGGACGATAGGCAAATGACACCGTGTTGATGGCAGACAGGGAAATAAATAAAAAAGTCAGAAGAACCTAGAAAATGAAAGCGGAAAGAAGGAACTAATCATCAATTGGAAAACAGAATATATGTTTGTTAGCAAGAGGAACAGACCAGAATGCGCGCTACGAAATGCAGACGTAAAAATCAAGCAAATTCAGAAGTTTAACAAGGTGAGAATATTTTAACAGGCGACGGAACACGTGACAGAAATCCAAAGGTGCATTAGAGTAACGAATGTTGCCATCACAAAGCTAAACAAAGAGAAAGCTTAGTTCTATTATCAACAAAGATAACACGGCTATATATGTAATATTAAATAGCAGTAAATGTTGGGCAGCGTCCTTACAGATGAAGAAGCGTCCTGAAGCAATGGAGGAACATTTATACAATAGCGTACTGTGAATGCTACCGACGGGATATGGGAACAACGTGAATGTTTTAAAGAAAATGAGGGCAAAAAGACAATGGTTTAGAATTAGAAAGAGACAATTGGAATTCGTGGGAAAGTGGGATTGGTGAATTTGAACACAGCAAAGGCCAGGGGGATAAAAAGAAACGGCAGGCAACCTTCCTAAAAGAGATATGACAGAACAGAGTCTGGGAGATATGACGAGACAAAATTGACTTAGTTACAAAGGATTGGAGTTGCAAGGATATGAGTTCGTTTTTCTTTTCATGTATCCTCTGCGTATCCGTGACCATGGTAGATTTTATTATCTATATATAAAAGTATGTAACTTCCATTCGTCCGTCCGTCACACCTTCTAAAATAACCATACATTGACCGACTGGAACCAGATTTAGCGGAGAAGTGCAAACAGATAAGAGGTTACAAAGTACAGTTAGTTTTATTAGGATATGTAAATACTGCGAAGTAGTGTTTTTGTCAAAGTATTTTACAAACAAATCAGCTTATTCAAAATCCCTCGATTGGTTTGCGGAATTGAACGAAATTTAGGGTTTTTAAATTTCGACAAAAAATGTAAGCGATAACTTCAACAATACTAAATACTGTGAGAATTTCAACATGTGTCAGCGTCTTGCAAAAATTCTAATTAATATAAATTATGATGTTTGTAAAGAATAAATTTCTTTACTAGATGTGTCCAAACTTATACAAATTCGTCGTTTCCCTCTCAGAATCTCTTTCTCTGTTTCTCACCCTTTCTATTTATTTATCTTTAAATATAGAAAGAAAGAAAGTCACAAAAGAAAGAAAGCAGGAAATAAATAAAGAAAGAACGAACAAAAGTAAGAAAAAGGCACAAAAGAAAGAAATCAGAAAGAAAGAAAGAAAGAAAGAAAGAAAGAACGAAAGAAAAAGGCACAAAAATAAGAAAGCAAAAAATAAATGAAAGACGAAAGAATGAAAAAGGCACAAAAGAAAGAGAGCGGTAAATAAATAAATGAATAAAGAAAGAATGAAAGAAAGACAAAAGGCGCAAATGAAAGAAAGCAGGCAAAAAAGAAATAATAATACAAAGAAAGAAAGAAAGAAAGAAAGAAAGAAAGAAAGAAAGAAAGACAAAAGGCACAAATGAAAGAAAGCAGGGAAAAAATAAAAATAGAAAGAAAGAAAGAAAGAAAGAAAGAAAAAAAAAGGCACAAAAATCAGAAAGCAGCAAATAAATGAAAGACGAAAGAATGAAAAAAGGCACAAATGAAAGAAAGCGATAAATAAATAATAATAGAAAAAAAGAACGAAAGAAAAGGGCTTATAAATAAGAAAGCTGCAAATAAATGAAAGAAAGCAGGGAAAAAATAAAAATAGAATGAAAGAAAGAAAGAAAGAAAGAAAAAGGCACAAAAATAAGAAAGCGGCAAATAAATGAAAGACGAAAGAAAGAAAAAAAGGCACAAAAAAAAAGAAAGCGGTTAATAAATAAATAAATGAATAAAGAAAGAAAGAATGAAAGAAAGACAAAAGGCACAAATGAAAGAAAGAAAGAAAGAAAGGTAGAGAGTTAATCATAGAATTTTAAACTCTGTCCCAAAGCAACACAGTAACCAGTTTAAAGAAACATTTTTTTTCGAAGGTGTTTTGTTTTTTCGTTCATTCGGTCATTCAGTAATTCGTTCGTTTTTTCATCCTTTTAATTCCTTTCTTCCTTTTTTTGTACGGTCTTTTGAAAATAAACACGTGTGATGCTCGGAACAAAGCACATAATTTTGCCCAACACACGCGCACCCATCCATCCATACGCAAACACATACACGTGTAAACACTTAGTCACACAAACTATTTTTTTCCAGTAGCTTAGTCTATGATTTTTAACAGTGTTGTATACATAAAAAATAGAACACATTTAAATTGGAAATGGCGTATCTACACAAGTAAACGATAAAGTCTCAATGTTTGTCAGTGTGAGAACAACAAAAGAAAATTGATACTGGAGAATGATGACAAATATTACATTATGTAAATCAAAAAAGTTTAACGAAAGAAAACGCCACGGAAAATATCGAAACCCACTTTTTAAAAAGTGATATTTGAAAGGCATGTAAAAGAAAATGGGAGAAATCCAATTTAGATCCGAAAAGATAATAGCCGGACAACTCTTTCTTGCGTATAACAATAATGAAATGAATCCTTATGTTCCCAATGGCGTTAAATGGTCTTCTCAGACAAATCAGTGCCTCATATAATCCTTAGAGCACTTGTACGATTCCGACAACTCACATAATTATTTTATGAGGAAAGTACACACTCGTGAACAAACATACTTGTACATAGACTGCTCCCATTACAAGTTATTGGTTAAAGTTTTCGCGATATTAAAACGCTATGATATACAAAGAGTATTTATTAATACTCATACTTTTAAATTGATACAAATGCAAATAAAAAATGTAGTAATTCCAACAATCCTGACCTGGTATCTCAGTATTAATTACTTTCCCATGGCCGTAACATAGCTTCCCTGTACTTTTTCTATAAATATCTTCATGGTAACTGTGTTGATGTGCTTTCCTTTCTGTTACGTCGACTTTACGAATTTAAACGCAGTACTAGATTGGCAGAAAGGTCTCATCTTTTTACATTTGAATTGACTCCATGTAACCATAAGTTCTATGCTAACAGTTTCTTCTTCAGCACTTCTCGTTTATGAGACTCAATTACGGCCTCCTGATTTTCAGTCAACTTCAACCGACAAAAAATTAAATGCAATGTAAATCAATATCTTCTGTCTTCTTGTTCTTTTATTGATCTCTCTCTATATTAATGTTTTTTTTTTTTTCTTTATGTTCTTTAGCACTCAGTGAACCCATGCGTCTTAGCGGCTTTATTGCTTTGCTTGGGGTGGAATGGTTATATATATATATATATATATATATATATATATATATATATATATATATATATATATTCATTAATAACAAATCCATTACTCAGTGCTTCACGCAATGCTAATTATCAGTAGTCCCACCTGATGATTGGTATTACATAAAACTTTGAGTAACGGACTTGGTATTATTATTATGCTATATCATATTTAGGCTCTGTCGATTTTGGCATTGATCCCTCAGTTTATTTTATATTTTTGAGCTTTTAGCATATCTTAAATTTTGCTTTTACTTTTTACCATTTGTATATATATATATATATATATATATATATATATATATATATAAACACATGCACACATCTCCCCTCTTTCTCTCTCTGCACACACATATATATATATATATATATATATATAGAGAGAGAGAGAGAGAGTGTGTGAGAGAAAGAATAGAATTACTGTGTAATATTTTATCACTTAGCTGATTATATGCATGTGTGTGTGTGTTTGTGCATGTGTGTGTGTGTGTGTATGTGTGTGTGTGTATGTGCGTGTGTGTGTGTGTGTGATGATGACGGTTGATCACAACCGAAAGCGCTCAGCAATACATCAAGGACTGGGGTCTTTTTCATCAACTAAGACCCAAATACAAAGAAATTTGAGAGAAATCATGTAAAAATCAAACGGATGCCTCAATAATAATATAATAATAATAATAATAATAATATATATATATATATATATATATATATATATATATATATATATATATATATATATATATATAACAAATTAGCTACTATATTTTCATAATATTCACTCCCCTCTAATTCTTCAAATATCGAAAGTATAACTAATTTTAATTTCTATTTTCCCCCCTCTATACCTTTTTACATTATATATATAAATTATAAACTTTCCCCTCCTCTAAGATCTCCCCAACCATCATTCCATTAATCCTTTTATCTATATATTTTAAAGTTATTTTTAAATCCCTTTATATTCCTCTTTTCATTTTAAATAATACATCATTCTTCATATAAACCCAAATTAATGTCAGAAGGTTAATATTCGGATTTAGGTTTATAAAACTTCTTCCCATTAAGACAAATACTTTCCACTCTCCCCTGACCTCCTGTCTCATGCCTTTCGTCTGATTGAAATGGATAAATTCTTTATTAGTTTTTCGACCGTTTTTTTTCTTTTCTTTTCTTTTTTTTTTAAAGACTTCAGGGTTGATGAGACAGATGATCGATGCTTTCGTCTGCCGAAATTGGTTATTCCTTCATTTAAGGTGATTTGGGATTTGCTTATTAATTATTTGCCCCGTAAGTGATATCTGATGAACGAGGTGGCCAGGAAATTGGCCCATCCCTTCTAATCCACCAGTCTGGAAATGTTTGATTTAGGAAACCACGAACATGCAGTCCCCAATGTTGTGTTGCATCATCCTGCTGGAAAATAATGGTTGGTTGAAGATTATCTATTTGCGGTGCCACGCCAATTTCCTTTGTAGTATATTTTTTTAAATTGTAAAGAGACTTTATGGACATCCTATATAGCGATTTTCGAAGTGTAGCTTACATGTGGCACAAAGCCGAAATTAGGAGGCACCCAGTGAGGACCGAACTCACTACTCAGTCGTAATTGTTCTAGCGAGACAAGCTTGCTATTACACCGCCTCGAGGTATCCAATGGACATCCTTTATATAAGATTACTATAAGATTACGCGCGTTTAGAAACGTCGAATGAATGCTGATCTACAAAACTTATTTCTAAAACGCATTTTCCTTATTTTTTACGAGCGGACCATTCTATTTATGTAGTGCCTGATTCCTATTCGTAACAGAGTTTTCTCCTCGTCGCTCGAAATTAAAACGTTCCCATCGTAAGCTAAATTGAAGTCAATATTCCTTTCTAGGGCGATAGAAAATAGGTATTTTTTTTATTTTTTTTAAATTTTTACAGCATGTTTCACCTTTTACCAGGCATGTGAGCTACTTGGGGTAGAGATTTACGTTAGGAGGCTATTTGTGCGTATAGGAGTGGAGTATAAAAGGTTAGCCCTAGCCTTGAACAGGTTAAGACTGTAGTGATCTGGGAAACATCTTCTTGAGAGTCGGTCCCACAGGGCAGAGGTTCGTAGGAATTATTTGCTCGAGTGGAAATCACTTCTCGCCAATGGGATACAGAAGGAAATGTGGGTGGTTTGCCAATATGTATGTGGCATGGCGTGTCCTTGCCGTGAAGGTTTCACTTGGCGTAACTAAGGAATGTTGCTCATCCGAGCTCTTTCCGTGAAATTAGTGGTAGAGCAGTAAGAGGCTTACCACATCTCAACTGTGGGAGAGGAACTGGGGGTTGAGTTTAATTCACCAGGGACACTTTTGGACTCTATCAAGGCTAGGTATCAAAAACAGAACGTGCGCATAAAACATATTGTATCGAGTATACAAATATATCAAATAATAATAATAATAATAATATTAAATAAATAAATAATAATAATAATAAACATATCAATATCGCGTTATTCCCACTATCATTTATTAAAAAATATGAAAATTATAATAAAAATGATGAAAATAAAAATGCTAAGACTCATTTTGATGAATTAAATGAATTCTAGTTTTAAATGAATCCTAGAACCACTATTATCATACTGGTAATAATGTATAATATTTACTTTTTTTAAGCGTTTCACCCCAAGCAAGGTGGGAAGCCATTAGCACGCAAAGGGGTTACAGAGAGTTGGAGCGAGAGCAAAGAGGAGTGATAGAGGAAAGGATGAAGAGAAGGATAGGGGATAGATCAAGGAATCCTGAGACGTCGATTGACATTACATTTGAATAGTTGATTATAGCTATCAGGGAAACAAGAAAAGGGCAGGGAGTTCCACAGGTGAGAAGTGCGAGACAGGATGTTATTGACGTAGAAGAGTCGGCTACATTTGACAGTTGAAAGTGTGAGAGCAAGATGCTAGCCTAGTTGAACGCTTAAATTCATGAAGTCTGGGAACAAGCGAGAGCAGCTCATCGGAGCAGTCAACGTGAAAGTATTTGTAAAAAAGACAGAGGGAGGCGACGGCACGTCTGTGAGAGAGCGACTGCAGACGAGATGCCAGATCAGGGCCAATTACATTGCATATATACATATAATTACATTGCAGTATACATACTATATACCTACTTTTGCAGTCCCCCACCCCCCGTGGAAAAAATATTTTGAGATCTCAACATAACCTTGCCTGAGATTGCGGTGGTTGCAGAAATGTATTATTTAATTTGAAAAAGTCACACACCTTCAGGTCACTTTTGTGAGATATTTTAAGTATCTATTACCTTCTGAAATACGTAATGTATATAATATTTTTTTATACGTACTTTATATATGTTCCAAAGGTTGTCATAGCCGAGAGTGATAGGTGGAGGTAAGCTCTCACTATCTATAAAATGCTTTCGGGGCATGCGTCTGAGATAGCTTGTGACAAGTAGATCCAGCTACGGATAATGGGCCAAAGCGGAAAACTGGCGCCTCATAACCAGCTACTTTGGGGAGATGGAGCTCGAGAGGCCATTAAAGAAGACCATCTAAGGGAAGGAGAATCCAGATTTTAAACCTACGCTGCCTTGCGGTCATATCCAAAACACGAGAGAGGCTAAGGAAGTAACTCTAGACAGATAACCT